ATGTATTATGCCGCGATGATAGAGACGTTTTCGGTGAAGCAGGCGATATATTACGGTCTCCAGTGGTGTTATCCAAAGCTCTCCTCTTCCGTCCAGATGTCGTATTGTTGGATTGTAGCTTCTGCTTGGCGCCATTTAAAGGTGTTATAGGGGTCGAAGGTATTTCCAATTCCGATCGATTCTCTTCTTCGGAATCTTCGGGGGCATTCTTACGCCCTGGGGAAGTATATTGCGAAGATGAGTCGCCCATTTCGAGTGAAATATAAGAAACCAATCTCCCAGTGAAAACTGAAGACCTGACAAAGAGCTGTGGAGACAGCAGAAACTATCTGAAGGGAGTGAATGGGGAACAATCTGTCAGACAAAAAAAAAAAAATTCAGAAAAAGTCGCCGAAAAAAGCTTTGTAGCGGCGCGAGCGGCGCGGCGCGGCGCGACTTTTGGCGGTGCCGTTCAAGCTTTCTTTAGCGGAGAGACATTCCATCCATTCCCTGGTAAGGGCGGTCAAGGTTGATAGTTCTAAGCTCCTGTCAGACGTCGCATCCTCTGCCTTGCTTCTGCGATTGTGCAGCCGGCACTTTTTCCTGGGGGAAGAAAACCACCAAGGAGTCTTTCGCGAAGGGAAAGAAGTGGTCACTTAGGGAGAGAATCGCTACTGCCACCCAGTCGAACCTCGGTCTGACTAAATTCCTTTTTGCTTTTTTCTTGATGGGGTTTCCCGGTCAAGGGCGGTCAGAATGGCGGGTGCAAAATACGGGCAGAAAGATGCCGGGATGTACCCTCCAAGGCCGTTTATCCTAGAGTAGCTAGATTGTGAGTAAATGAGTATATACTAGGGCAATTGATTTGGATATTAGCAGTGACACCATCCAAGAAACAGCACAGACGCTAATAATGCCTTTAAGCAGGGGAGCTGTCATACTTCCAGTTCCCACCAGGCTATCTTGGAAGCCTTCAGCACGGTGCAGTTCACCCATCAATCCTGCAGTCTGCTTCTTTCCTTCCCAAGCCACCTGAATAGTAGCAGTGATGTGCAGATTGGGTTTTCATATCCCGGGCTAGGTGGGCAATATCCACTCCTACTATATGCTGCTTTCTTGCCAAGGAGCTTTTCAGGCTCGTTTCTACCCGCTTTCGTGCGCTTTACTGCTGTGTCAATGATATATAAGTCTACCTAAGCAAGAGGTTTAATGATACTAGTAGTGTATATCATGCTTCAATCTCAATTATATACATAATTAGATTTAGTATTTATCCTATGGATAAGCATGTATGATTTAATTTACTACAGTCCTTTGTATTCAGTTCGGGGTATATAGTATCTCATAGTATGTATAAACACTATATAGTTGCTGTACTATATCACAAACATCTTGGACTTCGGAATCGGCGACTTTTCTGGTACAGTGAGGGTATCTACCTGTTCACCTACTATATACTAAGCATTCAGGTTCCCTTCCAGGAACACACGTTGGAAAAAGCAATAGTAATATCCCTATCAAGCCAAGGCGTCTAATGTACAAATTTGGATGGTATACCTACATAACGGGCGCAACACTGTCAGGGTACGTACAACAGTCCAGAATGTCGCAAGGTCAGAGCCTCATTTCCTATTGAAAGCTTGCTCAGGTAGGGGTGAACAGGATTAACCTGAAAGTTGCATAAGTCGAAGGTGCAGCAAGCTGCGGATTGTGGGGCGCAACTGGGCCAGAAGATAATACAGCTGCCAGCTGGCATATGCTGCCAAGAGGACCGTTTGCAGCAAGTTTCAGAGAAGGTGGGTCAATCAAGAAGGGGCTAGCCGTACGGCTGTGGGGACATATCCTTCTAGTTGATTAACTCTCATGCAGTCATGCTACTTGAGTGCTTCCGCTTCGTGCGGCTACGTAGGTATAAGCTATATAAGGATCTTCACATGGAGATCCGACGGGAAGGCTAGATCGAAGGTGGGCTCTACCTAGGCCAGAACCACTTTGACCCATAGGCTATTGAGGTAAACGCTGCCTAGAGGCCCCAATTACGCCCCGTCTGGGTTAGCCGGGAAGACTAAGCCTGGCAGAGAACTTGCATTTAAGGAGCAGGAAGTAACTAGGAGCAGAGATAGACAATAGTGATTTACAGGTAACTGGTGAGCCACCTGCGACGTTCCGATGCCACTTAATTTCTTCGTGTTCAGCCGAGGTATAGACGGTCTGTAGATACGCGAAATTGCACTATTTAGTGTGTCGTAAACTTTGCGCCATATCAACGGGCACAGCGCTCTGGACTATTTCCTTGCTGCAGACAGTGAAGCACCTGCACAGCTAGCACCTTGTATACCGAGCTCGATCAGGCCAACACAGAATAATATTGCATCAAAGATCGATACCATTGCGCAAGCAATCTTCAGCATTTTCTTTTTGGTAGCTGTACGAACGATGCCAGCGGCCGCACTAACATTGAGCACGTCGCACTTCATGCGAGGCGACGCAAGGTCGACTATGGGTAAGAGAGCCTCGGTCTTCAGGGTTGCATGAGCCTAACACCGTCGAGCGGGCATAGGAGGGTACCCTGTGAGATTTCTCAGGTCGGTGTCGCTTGCCATCACGGCAGCTCACTGGGCTAAGAAGAAGCTGAAGCCCGCAATTCAGCTCGTTTCTTCGAGCGAGTTAGGAAAGGCATGAATTGTGGCTTCCATCGTTTTGCTTTCAACAAGCAAAGTTGGGCAATTAATCAATCGAACGATATCAAGATCCTTAGTAATTGTCGCATGCCGTGATGTATATATGGGACGAGAATATGAGTCAAGTATCGCGGATTCGCCTTACTGAGGCGCGCTATGGAAGCGACGTTGGTGGTGTGCGTGTTGACTAGGATATCGCTTGCTGGATGCTGAGTTGACTCAATCACTTGCCTCTCATTGGCCTTGAATTGCTATGGGTTAGAAAGCTGCCAGCGCCCGCATTTCGGTTTGTCACCAGTGGAGCAATGACATGGAGAGTGGAATCCTGACAACCCATGTCATCATTTTCGATCAGCCCATCAAACCGCCCAAAACCACGCGACCAACGCTATTTATTTCGCTCTTGGCCTGGTGACGGCTGGCATCCTCGAATTCGCGTATGAGCCCCGCCACCATAATCTTCCTTATCTTGGCATCCGCCTTGGAAAACATTTCCCCCAATGCGACAGTACATACTGAAGGTGTGAAGACCAACGACACCAATCGGGTGTAACAGTCGATGAGAATATCACACAGGGTAACAAATGTTTCGAAATAGTCCGGTTCAAATGGTAACAACGGCGTCAGAAGATATGTGTATTCCTCACCGGGGAGGAGCTCCGAAGCCTCCGTATGCGGAAACGATACGGTCGCTGCCGCCGCGCTTGCTGAGTTACTCGCCATTGACTTCAGATCCGACGGGTCACTGGATTGTATCGGTAGGCCGATTTCTGTGGCCGAACTGGTGCGGCGCGCTTTCGTGCCGGCGTGAGCGGCGCGCTTGAACATCTGTGGGATACGGGCGCGAGTGAGGGTGGAGGAGGAGGTGCCGTCGGGAGGATGCACTTGCTGAAAAGCCTCGAATTCAATTAAGAGGGTGTTGAGCGCGCGAAGGAATTCCACGGGTGTTGTGCTGACATCGAGAATCGGAGGCAGGGAGAGGCCCAAAAGAAGGTAATTGATGGCGCGACGGGCGAGTTTACGGGGCTCAAAGTATGGCAGTCGGCTGATATCGGTCCGGGAAAAGTGAACTGTATTGAACCAGTAGATGCGGCCTTCGTGCGCTTTCCGCAGATAACCCAGTGTAGAGATCCGCTTAGCGGCCATATCGTGGATGTGTTGATAGATTGCTGCTGCGCTTTGAGGCCCAAGTGATCCGCTACCACTCGTTAACGGGGGTGGCATGGACCCCACCGATGGGTCATGACTGATGCTGGCTTTGGTGTCCCGGCGCGAAAGACTGGGGGCAAAAGTCGACGAAATCATATTGGACATGGCTATGTAGTTGGAGAAGGTTGCCTACCCCGGCAGAAACGTGGATTCCGTACTCCGTAGGCAATGAGGATACACAATTAAAAGGGGCTGGCTCAAGAAAGCGTACTAGTAGGAAGATCCGCGGGATCGGGAAGGAGATGGAATCTCCGTGCCACGTGACCATGATTACTGCCGGCAGAGACGGAGCTGGCGATCCTGTAACGTCTGGGGAAAGTATTATGATGGGCTAACGAATAAGAATATCACAAGCAGTGGTTCCAGTCGCATGGATTGCTGGTCCGACTAGCAGTCGGCGTGCAAATGTAATAGACGAGCTGATTGAAAATTAGCCCCATCCAAAACATGCTGACTATAGATTAGCAGGTTTGGCTAACTATTGGATTATATATTAAAATTGAGACACTCAAAATATCCACTAAGCATGTTAGCTCAGGGGAAGAGCGCCGGGCTCATAACCCGGAGGTCCCTGGATCGAAACCAGGACATGCTATCTGTTTTCTTTTTTTCCCTCTTTGCTATCGTAGCTAATCGCTTCTTTTTGTTCATTCAAACATGCTAGCATAGGCCGTTCACGCTACTTTAGCTCGGTATCTATTCTTACTACGGAGTACAAACCAAGAGAATCCCGAGTCGCCGTGTTGCTGTCGAGGAGATTCCCGGTCCGTCCCAAGAACAACTGATGCTTTTCAGCCGAGATAGATTTGTATGTCATACTTGCCGTGGTGGTGGATCCAGACGAACTGAGTATGTACGTACCGGTAGCATTACTCTATTTACATACCGATATCCTTAAGTAGGTTACTCGAGGAAATGATACACATATTATGTGGCAGGTGCCATCTATATCTTGAAAAGGATTAGCGTAGGGGTCTACGTGGCTATACCTGAATGGGTTAGTCGCTGACTATCACCCCGGCTGGCCACTGACATGTGACCGACCGCCTTCCCAAAGGGATTGGCTCCGAGCTGCATGAATGAATAGGAAGGATATCTTCCGGCACTTGACCACCTTCTTTCCCCTCCTTACGAATTAATGGCCCCTTGAGATGACCTAGTATCAGGTCTTCTCTGTGGCGAGCCCCAATACTTTCTTGCGGCTTTGTGTTTCAATATGCTTCTGCGCCCGGCCACTTCTTATTTGATCAGAACTGGCCAGGGGTATCAACTATTTTTAGCATGACACGCCGACTTGTATGTCCATTTTCTTCTGATCATGAAATGCTCCTATCAGAAGATTTTAGAACTAATCGGATATCTCTATAGGTTCGAGCGGGCGTGCAGCTCGCGATTTTCGCATCTTTCATCGCTCTTCTCGTCGTGACCTTGGACAACAGGTTCCGTGTCCTTCCTGCCTCCATCCACGGCCATCTTCCATCCCACTATGCTGGCTTCGCCATCACCGATGTCACCGTTGTGACTTGTTCCTCCATCAACGTTTTCTCAAACTGTCAACCGAGCCAGGAGTCCTGGTCCCAGGTCGAGAAAGACCTCTACCTCCGCACCGGCTGGACCTCAAGCGCATTTGTTCGATTTGAGCGAAAGAAAGAGGAAGAACTGCTTCCTACAGACAAGGTTGTTATTGACCTTAAGATTAGCCGACTTGTTCCCGAGTATTCGGAGGATCCTGAGGCTCAGGCAGAGACATGGGAGCAAAGACCCGGTGGTATCTGGCTCAAGCGAACCGCTAAGCGCCACGCGAGTGACTCTGGAAAAGCAATCACCGCTATCGATGTCCTCTTCGGTGCCGATGCAGTCGATCCGCGAATTGGCTGGGAAGTCAGGGATACTCCATTGCTACTGGATAGCCGTACGGAGGAACTGGAAACTCGAATCAGCGTTCGTCGGGGAGATCCTCCCAAAACGAAGAAACCAGTGCCCAGGATAAATGAGAATGGGCGCTTCAAGATCATGCAGTTGGCTGACTTGCATCTGAGCACCGGCCTAGGGGCTTGCCGTGAACCCGTCCCGGCTGAACCCATTCCAGGGCAGAAGTGTGAAGCCGATCCTCGGACGCTAGAGTTCGTGGAAAGGCTTCTAGACGAAGAGCAGCCTGATTTTGTTGTATTAAGTGGCGACCAGGTTAATGGTGAGACGTCGAGGGATGCCCAGAGTGCTCTTTTCAAGTCCGTTAAACTCCTTGTTGATCGCAAGATACCCTACGCGGCCATTTTCGGCAACCATGATGACGAGGGTAACCTGAAGCGACCGGAGCTTATGACTATCTTGGAGGATTTGCCGTACTCTTTATCTACTGCCGGCCCCGAGGAAATCGACGGAGTCGGAAACTATTATGTCGAGATTCTTGGCCGCGGAAGCACCACCCACTCCGCGCTAACCCTTTACCTTTTGGACTCACACTCGTACTCTCCTGATGAGCGGAATTATCGCGGGTATGACTGGATCAAGCCGAGTCAGATTCGGTGGTTCAAGAACACGGCCCAAGGGCTGAAGACCAAGCACCATGAGTACACCCACATGCACATGAACATGGCTTTCATTCACATTCCATTGCCGGAGTATCGTGATCCCAATAACTACTACCGGGGTAACTGGACAGAAGCTCCAACAGCGCCGGGCTTTAACTCGGGCTTCAAGGATGCCCTCGAGGAAGAGGGTATCCTGTTTGTGAGCTGCGGACAGTAAGCGATGTCTTTTCCATCCATCCATGACTATTTGCTAACCCGCTTCAGTGACCATGTCAATGACTACTGCATGCTCAATCGAGATAACGAGGAAAAGCCGTCCCTGTGGATGTGCTATGGAGGAGGCGCTGGTTTCGGCGGGTACGGAGGATACGGGGGTTATGTGCGCCGCGTGCGGTTCTATGATTTTGACATGAACCCTGGCCGTGTGGTGACATACAAGCGGCTGGAGTATGGCGAGACGGAAGCCAAAATTGATGAGATGATGATTATCGACGGTGGCATTGTCAAAGGGCCCGAACAAGAAAAGTGAACTGGAGATTGATGCCTTTCCAAGGCGCTGATTGGTATTATTTCCACTTTCTTTTTGAGCTGGGTCTCGCGAGACGCATCTGGCTGCTTTTCGGACGATATCATCTATTCGAGGCTCTTACATCTATTACTGGGGAGGCGTTCGTTCCTATTTGAGACTTAACCGGCGGGCATTCATTTTCTTTCCCTTGTATCATATTAGTATTCGATTCAAGCATCTTCAGGATGCGTGGGCCGCGATAGCAGGCATTTTCTCAAGAAAATTGATTATTTTTTATCTTCTTTTCCTTCCTTCCTACTTTATCACCACCACTTTTCATAATACACGCGCTCCGTATCCCCGAGAAAGCCCTCAAGGCTGCTCACCACATCATCAGTCATCCCAGGCGGACCACACACATAACACACCGTCTCTTCCGCCTCAATACTACCATCAGGTTTACTGACCGCCTTGCGTAAATCATCCCGATTGATCCTCCGCGTGTGCAGGGTCAGATCCCCAGATTCCGCAAATTCAGTGAGAGAACTTCGATCCAAACCAGGATCGGTGATGAAAAGATCTAAGCTAATCTGCAATCGACGAACCTGTGACTGCGACGCAATGATCTGTCGTAGACGTGAAAGAAACAAGATCTGCTGCAGGCTACTAGTACCATTCCCGGTTACTGTTCCTTCTTCTTTCCGTGGGAGTTTCGTTGAGTACAGAAATCGAATATTAAATGATGGGTGAGGAAGAGCTATCTCGTCGCCATCGTTTAGATGCGAGAGCATGGATATCAGTGGGCTATGGATGTGTTAGTATTAAGTTATGAATCGTCTTTCCTGTTTGGTGAGTCGACATGGAACACGCACTTGATCCCTACTCCGCCTGCCACGAAAACTACATTTCGAACTTTCGTCAAGTCCACGCTGGAAGATGGAGGCCATACAAAACTCCCTCCGACGCGGATGCTAAGTACCGTGCCTAGGATCTGATTGGCCGGTCGCCAGAGCCATACGCTGGCTGGGTTGGAGGGCGCATATTGCACGGCTAACTCTACGTAGGGTGGCCGACCGCGCGGGTCGATGGGTGGCACGTCGGTCTCATCGGTTGTGATTGCCTCGGCGGGGAATTCTAGGGATGGGAGGACTTGTGCGTCGGCTGGAGTGGAGGTAATACTGAAGCCACCTGCATTGGGGATGGAGGGAATATGGACGTCCAGCCATTGACCCGGGAGGAATGTTAGGGGTTGTTGGGGGTTGGCTAACTGTTGGCTGTTAGCATGATAGTATGTATACCTATATACGGTCGGTCGGGAAGTGGATATGTTGCTGATGGTATACAGTTTATAGGTGTGCGATGCGATTGGAAATGTCACATAGAAAAAAAACATCATTATGGAAAGAAACTCATACTTCATCCACTTCCTGACCTTCATCATCTTCGACATTCTGGACCTCCGGGGGGAAGGTCAGCTGTAGCAGTCGCACGGAAGGATTGGCCTGTTCGATATGCGACAGCCGGACATTGTACAGTCGGTTCTGGCGGGGTTCGGCAGCGGTGCGCAATTGATGGGGCAGTGAGCCCTTCCGGTTTGTCGGGGAGCTCATGTGGTGTGTTTGATGATAGCAGCACAATTGGTTGGTAGCCGATAGCTGGCGCTTAGAGAAGAGAGCTGATGGGTGATGGCGAGATTGGACTGGGAGCAGTTGATGGCACTGCAGTACTAGTCGGAGTCTCCGCATCCGGAGGTCCAATAAATGTTGCGGAGGACTGTTGCTTCCTGGGAATAGTGATAGTAGTAGAGAGTTAGAGGACTCACAGGGCCGGCTGGCGGGATAAACATTTAGTGCCTTTACATGGATTAGAGTAAGTGATTTTTTGGCATAGGGAATTGACTGTGTTGTAGTTATTGAGAGCGCATTGCTGGTTTGGTAAAAGTATGAAGTAGTTGAGTTGAGGATAGATGGATGACGTTGGGACATGTCATGTGCCTTCTTGGTTTGTTTGCAGCGAACTGGAACCAAGTCAGTCGACTATTACTTAGTTATCCTTCTCCTCCATTCTGTATGTACTCCTTCCCAGCTTTTGTGCTTCAACATCACATCCTACTGATTCAACGATATGGCTCAGTGAGATAAAACAGGGAACTGATGGAGTTCCTAATGACTACCAACCCCTCCTCAAGTTCTCTTAATGCAGGTGCAGTCACAACAGTATTACTAGTACTTACCTACAGTCTGCCAGTTTGCTCCACCTGGGCGCTTCGCACTCTGGTTGGTCAGCCCCGAGCATCCCTTTCAATGAGAATGAATGACCAGGGTCACATGACCTGACAACACCTCATTCCTCGTCCCCTGCCTCGACACAATTCTTGCCTCTAGCACAGAGGTAATGAGCCGTCTAATACGGAATAGTTATTTAGCTATCAGAGCTGATACTCTCATATGTTGCTTTCACCAACCGGAGGGCAGATCCCTCTCTTAGTCTCGTTGCGTACTCCGAGAGGGTTGCTGGGAGCATGCAGATCGCCTTCCCCATCACACGCTAGGCGTGTGACGGCTGTCAACCAAACGGCTACTTCTGCCACCTCATTGGTGATGGACCCCGGCCTGGCGCCGATGCTGGCGCTTCCTAGACGGCAAGCATTGGCCAGATGCAACCCGTGGGAAACATCAACTGCATTTCCCGCTTTCCTGGCTTGCCATTACATTGCTGTGATAGCGCCGTTCTCCTCATCTGGACCATGCACCACAAGAGGATGGACGCCGGCGCTTCTGGGGTGCCAGACTTCTTATCCTCGCCATCTCCCCGGCTGATCATCCGGAGCTCCTCTCTCTGGTAGCCATTTTTGTCTCCTTGCTCTCATCTATGTGTTAGCACTTGGTGTTCGATGCCAGTGTGCTGAACGTACAGCCACAACCGACCTGGACATCAGTCACAGGTGAAACACGAGCCCAGGCACTCCATCAGAGCGAGTACACTTTTTATAGTGATTCTATTCATCGTGCTTTATCTTCCTAGCTGGCTTTGACGACTCGAATATATCAACACAATCAGTCATGATGCGCATGCGCATGCCGCCGCTTCGTGATCTCTTCCCGACGAAATGGCGGAATCACAACTTGATGTATATATTGATGGCCATCGAACTGCCTCTTACGATCATCATCCTCACGCTTACGGGTATCGCCTCTCATGACCTCTACCGGACGAAGCTCTGGCAGGATGGCGCCGACAATGGGTTCAACAGTTCGCCAAATGAAAGGCTCTACGCCGCGGCCAACCATCGGCCCTTCAAGACCCCCATTGTCTGGAGTTCATTGTATGTGAAAGCCTTCTAGTCCAGAACCCGCCTATGTCATGACTGACACTGGAACAGCATCACCGAGTACAACCTCGTCCTTGGAATTCTGAGTGTCTTCGTGTGGATTACAAAGATTCCGGTCCACATCCTTCACATGCTTACTCCACCCTTGTCGGCCTTTGTCCACGCTGGCTTGATAGCCGTGTATATCTACTCCGTTCGTTACCAGGCCGGTCCCGATATGTCTGACCCCGAGCATCCTCAACCGGGCGCACCATGGTACATCACGAAGAAATGCTCAGTGGCTGCCGTCAAAACAGACGTTCACTACTGTATGCAAGCCAAGGCACTGTTTGCATTTTCGATAATTCTCATGTGAGGACGCCCTTATTCTCTGATACCCTTTTTTCGGGAACGTCCAGCTAATCTGCCTAACAGCCTATACTACGTTGTCGTGCTCGGCATCAGCTTGCAGAACTGCGTCATAACGAAAGAAGAGCGTCAAGAACGGGAAGAGCTGCGCGAAGAGCGAAGGACTATGAAGGAATTTGAAGACTACGTTCTCAAGTCGCCTGGTATCCCTATGACCGTGCCGAGGCAACCCGGGCCCATGCCGGCGGGCATGCCTGGCAAGGCACCGTTCCATAAGACTATCACTCGAAGCACTGACGTGTCGTCGGCGGATCTCCCACTTCGTCAACACTTCAGTTCACCTAACCCTCGCCGCTCAATGCACCAAGTGTCGGCGGAGACTCTTTCCGGGCATCAAGCCCAGTCCCAGACATCTTTTGTGCAGACCAACAAGGCGACTGATAACTAAGTGGGGTTGCAGTCTAGCCTACCTAACCCTGGAGAGCTACCTAAGGCTAGGGAGGCTCCTCGAGGCAATCGCTAAGCATGTAATGGGATTCACGTGCTCCATAGCTCAGTTGCTCATCATTGATGGCTTAAGATCGAATCCACGCTTACTTCTACTCTCACATCCGTTCCTACATCCATACCCCGAAATATTGATTTATATACCATTTTGCGCGCTGGATCACGCGGACTTTTATCGGTTATATTTCCAAATGCGATGGCGAGGCAGTCATCAGGATCACATAATGTTGTTTGTTTGACTTATTCACCAGTCACTAGTTCGTCTAGTGTTATCGCGCTTCCCTCCCCAACATTCTCTCATTCCACTCTTATCACGGTAAAAGAAATATCTGAGTATAGCACCAATATATGTTGTTGTTGAACCACCGTCCCATAATAGTAAGGAGCTTTAAATTATATAGTTGCAGCCTAATATACTTTAGCTCTTTATTGGATACTGATGTTTATGTGCTGTATCACTGTCCCCAAATCACATTTTTCCGTTAGCTGCCAATGACAGCTGCTATAGCCCGGGCCAGGCCCCTTGCCAACTCTGACAATATATCATACTATCACGGCAACTTCGTTGAGCAGAAGAAAACGCCGTGTACGACTAAAAGCTTTCTGCGGCACAGGCAAATAGAATACCTTATAATGTATCGGAGAAGACGGGCCCAAGAAATGAAGATACGAGTTCATGCCATGAGGCATATTTGTAACAAGAGGATGGATTTATGCTTACTTCATAACTCGTCAAGCATGAAACGTAATCGGTAAGCGAGCTGGCCACGCAAGCGAGTTGGCCACCCCATCGAAACTCGTACGCGCCTCCGAAAATGATCCTATTCAGCCAGCCATTACACCACTAAACATGACTAAATCATCAAAAGCTGCAGCTGAACAAGAGAGCAGGCTCAGTTTAGCAGTTGAAGCTATTCAGAATGGTCAAATGAAGTCTATACGTCAAGCTGCATGCATTTTCAATGTTCCTCGATCAACTCTTTCAAATCGCTTAAAGGGAACCAAATCTCGCAAAGATACTCGAGCCAACTCCCATAAATTGACTTCTACAGAAGAAGAATCGCTAGAGAAATGGATTATCTCGCTTGATCAACGTGGTGCACCGCTACGCCACTATCAAATACGTGAAATGGCCAATATACTACTTCAAAATCGTGATCAGAAAACAACTATCTCTGTTGGAGAGAAATGGGTCTACAACTTTATCTCCAGGCATGAATCCTTAAAGAATCGTTATACACGTCAAATCAATTATAAACGAGCAAAATGTGAAGAGGAAGAGCCTGAAGTCATTTAAACATTGTTTGAACGCGTGCATTCTTTACAAAAACACCAATGCATTCAAGGCAATTGAAGAAATACGAGTCTACACTATCTCAATTACTTCAACAAGATACTCTTGCTATACCAATACAGTCAGCCTTATCACACATCTATAAAGGCGCGGAGGTTGCTTTGAACTGTACAATTCTTCTTGAGCATGAGAATCATCAACTACGTGAAGCTATCGAGAGACAGGGTACTAAACGGAAGCGCAATCAACACCAAATAAATGGTTCGAATGGCTTTACTGTACAAGAAGCGCTCGAGGCTTTCAACCATGCTAGAGTGTTAGAAGAACAAGCTGGGGATACAGGTCCTAGCAAGGATCAACTACGTCGTCGAGCGCCTCCTAGGTGTAGTAGATGTCAAACCATTGGACATATACGTACAAGATGTCCTGATCGAGCAGCTGCTTGAATATGACTATATAAACATTGTTAAAGTTGTTGAAATTATGTTCAATTTTGTATGTAGATCAGAATGGCGATATGCTGCGCGGAGGTGGCCAACTCGCTTACCGATTAACGTAACCGGCAAGCGAGTCGGCCAGGTAAGCCAGTCGGCCACCTGTGTATCCCATACTAATCTAACATTTATTGATCTCCATTACCTCGGCCACCGTTTGCTCAATTACAATGATATATTATCTGAAGCTATACATATACTTTAAGAAACCAAATATTAAAGATAAGTAACATAATAGGATTTATATCGTATATAATACTAGTTTGAAACAAATTACCAAAAATACAGAGTATTATATTTTACTCAAACAAATATTAATATTCACTATATAAGATTTATATACTAAGCTTAGATACATTCTAAAATACCAGTTGTATCAGAGAAACCTGGAATAATGAAGTTTGGTTGTAGTATCACAGCTCAAAAACTGCTGGATTAATATGGGGATACACAGGTGGCCGACTGGCTTACTTGGCCGACTCGCTTGCCGGTTAACTACGTTAACTAGTTACATAATATGCGTTTACTAAGCTATACATAAGCGTGCATATTAGTTGAGATGGGCCACTGTAGCACGTGACCGCAACCGGACCAACTTACTGCTATTATATCAACACTGGTCGGGATCCCACGCAAGTGACCTCTCGAAATTTCTCACTTACGGCTGATCAACGTCCTCATAATGTCCCTTACCCGGACCTCCTCTGTCTTGCGACAATGTCGCCTGCAATTGCACCCGGAAGCCATCTCCCTGACGCGCACTTCCCCTCCCCTGAGCCATTCTACCCGCCATTGCCGACCCTCGCGCTATGAATATAAATCTTTCCATACGACGACGCCCTCTAATGCAGCGCCACGATCTCCCATCGCGCGGAAGGCTCAATCCACTCGGAGACAAGCCGTCTTCACAATTGACGGAGTATTCGCCCACACTGTCCAAGGCGATGTCGAGAAAATGCTACAAAGGCTGGAGAAGACCGTGGAGGAACACTATGACCGGTGGAAGGAAACCCACAGCTATGAGGGAAGTTACGGTCGCGCGAAGCTGAGCCTCGACAAATACAAACAAATCGCACAATCCCTACTGCGAACCGCCTATTCCCAGCCTCCATCCGCACGTGCGATTCGCGCAATTTCCACCAATGTCGAGGTTATCTGGAACGTTTCGAGGTGCCTATTGAGTCCCGATAATCGGGCCCTGGAAGTTTGGCTCCACAGTGCTTGTGCTCTCGCAGGCGCAAGATCTCCTGCCCTTATGCTCGCTGAACGGAATCTCGACGATGCGCATCCGAATTACCCCCTACGCACTCAATTCCTGGATAAAGTTGAACAATGGGCGCTGCAAGAACGTGATCCTCGTGCTATGCATGTTTATGTGAGAACGCTTATTGCCCGCGGGGAACATGAAAGCGCGGTGCCGCTGATGGATGAGCTCATGTCGACCATCTATCCTTCGACACGAGTGGAGGGCCTGGAGACGCCTCTTTCGTTCTACAACATTCCCCAGGTGTGGCCGACGTATATTCAACTACAGGAGGGGCTGAAGAAGAAGGGTGTGAATTGGGGCGTTAGCAGAGATGAGCTGGCCCGTCTGGCAGGAGTGGATTACCAAGAGCCCAACTACTTGTCGAGTTATGCTTCCGCGATGTTTGAGGCTGGGGATTATGAGAAGTACGAGCAGTACATGCATCAGGCTGCAATGGCCGGTGTTCCCAGTGCTTGCGCCTCTTTGGCCCATTTCTACTACCTTACTGCGAGAGGACTGTTTCCCCGTCGGGGAGAGAAGACGTTTGTTCCGCGGTCGGAAGAAGACTCTAGCGAGGTACTCAAAAAGGGTAGATTGGAAACTCTTTACTCCAGCATTGTCCGTGGTCTGGCACCCCACGAATACTACAATAATCTTGCTCTCGAGTGGTGGGAGCTGGGATTGAACATGGGCAGCGATTTGTCTGCTATGTTCCTTGCTCTCGCTTACCGAGAGGCCGGTCAGGTAGAAGTTGCAGATTCTTTTTACAAGCTGGTAGATACGCCTCGTTTATGGGCCCCCAAATTCACCGCTGATGATCTCGCCATTAATTGGGACAATCCGTTTGCCAGCTTCTCTGTGCCACGGCGAGTACTCAATGTAAAATGGTATGATAGCGATGCCAAATGGACCACTGAGAAATAGCCAAAAAAAAAAAAAAGGGAATCAAAGGAAACTCCAAACACCAAAATTACGCTTGTCTAGAAATGCCGATGGTCGTACCAAGATGCGTTATGTCACATGAAGCGCGTCGCGACGCGAACTGGGAAGAGTGAAAAGGGAATTCAACATTCGGGCTCATAAGGTTTACTCGGTGTCAAACCGGGTGTGGAGGATGTCTGGCAAGGCGTCTCGTGGGGCCAGTGCCGGCGTGAAGTTCATTCGGGTGTTGCTCGACATGGGAGCTGTTTATTGTTATGCTTGCCGGCATAGTTGGTGCTCATGCCTTAAGCGTACACATAGTCTTCTGCCCGCCATCCAGCTTGTCTCTTCGGGCGGCTGTGAAGGCAGAGGAAGCAAGTTCGAAAGGTGAGTCGAATCGACCCTTCACGCTGAGGGAGTTCAGAACCTGCCCAAGTGCTTGTCGGTAGGAGTCGAGGTCACGGGAGGCTCAGTTATGGTGAGGGTTGCTGCAGGTGCAATCATAACTGGAGTTGTTGTTTCATCCTTGCAGCCGAACCAGCCGGGGGTCTTGCAGGTAGTGGTCGAGGTCATGGGAGGTTCAGTTGTGGTGATTGTTGGTGCAGATGTAATATCCGAGGTGGTTGTTGGATCTTTGCAGCCAAACCAGCCAGGGGTCTTGCAGGTGGAGGTGGAGGTGGAGGTCGACGTTGTCTCGCCAGTCGTGGTTGGATCCAAGCAGCCCCACCATCCAGGAGTCTTGCAGGTAGATGTTCTGCTAGTCGTAGTAGACGTGGATGTAGATGTGGCCGAGGTGGTAGTAGTGATTTCAGAGCCGTTACTGCGGAAAAACTTCCAGAGTTCGCAATCGTAGCACTCCTCTTCAGGCGCACAGGACGGCACATCGTCGTACCCAGCAAGAACATTCGCAATGACATAGTTAATGCGATGTTTGCTGAGACCAACACGCCAGCCCTTGTCTTCAACAGTGTCATAGACACACATCTGACCAGTATGGCATGCGGATTCCATGGCATAGCCACCCCAGGTACAAACTGAGCTTACTCCATTGCAAGTTCCCATGTAGACCGGGTCTGCCGTATGTCCGAAATGATATGATCCAGTGTTCTTACGTGACTGCGGGTAACGTGAGTCATGTCCTGGCGGACTGGGAAGACCCAAACGAGCTGCTGGGAGTGCTTCCGGAACAGCTTCAAAGGTGACAACTGGTACCCCAAATGTCAAGCCTAGCAAGCTGGACACCGCACCACCCAAAGAATGGCCCGTCAGCCAAACGTTGGCATTTGGGTACATCTCGGTGATATTAGAGTAAAGGTCGATTGAGGCGCGATAATAGCGGTTCTCATCTAGCATCGCCTCAACAATGCACGTCAGGTTCGCATTGTACAGGGTTGTCTGGCAATCGCAGACTTGCCGCCAGAGGTAAGAGCCCCCCTGGCCACAGCAGCAGCTGAAGAATAGATTGTCGTTGATTTTATCATTTGTAGTAGTGCCCTCGCCATCGAACAAGGCCGGTGAAGTTCCCTTGAGGGAGATGACCACCGTGCTATTGGTCTTATCGGCATATACGTGACCTCGGAGCCCGTCTCCTTGCCAACCAAAACTTCCAGAGTGGTTGAACCGACCATGAATATCCTGCCAATCCCCGGTCCCAGGTACCTCGATGTAGTCATTCGCCGTCATCATTGCCAAAGCAACGACCGTCTTCTTCTCTGTGACATTCGGGCCCGGCAGCGTATCCATGACCCAATCGGACGGCGACAGCGCCACTGCCGAGCCAGAGGATCGTGCAGTCACTAGGTGTTCTTCAATGACCGACAGGCGTCGGTCTGCAAGTCTTTCGATTGTGAGCGGTTGTGATGAAGCAACCAGCGGAGTGTTCGGTGTGACGACATCGGTTTCGACTCCTTCGTCTGAAACGGCCCGAAGACGAGTGTCTGGCGTGATATCTAGCCGGCGGTGGAGATCAGGATCTTGATAAGTTCCTCGGTGAAAGATATGGCGAAGCGTGAATTCGTGGGTGTCTGAGAGGGGGGGCGAGTCACCCAGCGGGATCTGAGGAGGGAGGAAGGGCGACGGTGGTCGGGATCCGAGGTATACGGGCTGATAAGCGGAGATCAGGCCTGGAAGTAGTGTCACCGACCATAGCAGGTCGGAAAGTCTTGTGTTCCCCCAGGAAGGCTTCTTATTCTGCCCTCGAGGACCTTTCATGGCGATACAGTGATGAACAAAGATGCAGGGATGATGCTGAGAGATAATAATGATGGAAACAGGGTCGCTCTAGATAACCGGCGCCATTCTGTAGATAGATAGATAGGCAGTAGTTGAGGTGGCCACCGACTGGGCTGGAGAAAGTGGGTATTGGGCTGTCACGTGATTGCTACCGACCCACATTACCAAAAGTAGTAGATGATCAACCAACATAGCTGAGTGGATCATCCAACTATGTACTAGTAGCTCACATGAGCTGTTTTCCTTTCTTTCTGTCGTCATGCCTATCAGAGTCAGGTATCTCACGCCTACCTCCGGTTGACCCCGGTAACTTCGTTAGTATGGTGGAGAGTTGCAGGGATCGCGATCCTTTTTAGGTCTGCTGTTTGTATGATTATTAATGATTCATAATATGTTGGAACGTAATCCCAGTAGATTACTAGTAAACAAGGTCACGTGACCCGAAACACCGTAATCTCAACCGCTCCTTCCGAGCGCGCCTAGATAGAAAGAATCAAGCGTTTCTTACGACTTCAATATTGACCTAAAACGTCGTTCCAACATAATACTTAGTATGGCCACCTTCCGTGTCAATCACCGCTTGACACCTTGCCTGCATACTATCAACTAATTCGTCTAAGAATCTCTCTGGTAGAGCATCCCACACAGCTCGTACAACCTCACGTAGTCAATCATATGATAACTGCTCATTAGAAGGCAAGAAACACTCAATCCAGTCTTTCATCTAATTCCAAACAGCTTCGATTGGGCTGAGATCTGGTGAGAAAGCCGACCATGTAATTGGAAAGATACCACGCTCATTAAACTCTTGAATAGTAGCCTGACTTGCATGGCTAGGTGCATTATCTTGCATCAACTGAAGCTGTTGTTGTTGATCTTGCTCAGTCAAGCGTATATAACCATCAATCATAGGAATAATGCGTTCAATATAGTGCTCAGTGTTGATACTTCCACATTCCTGCTCCCAAAAGAGACAGGGTTCTTTGATATTGCTGTAAAAAGATGCCCAAAACATCCAACCACATTTACGTGGTGAATTTAGCTTAAGACAAGTCTCATCAAGCTCTTCACCAGCTTTCACATATCCGTCTGTGAAAGCCTGAAGTTACCCAGGTTTCATCAGTCTAAAGAATTCAATTTCATTGATCACGCGTCCAGTATAGATGTTCAAGAGCCCAGACTAACCTCGCTTGTTCACTAGCTGGTGAAAGAGATGGTTTTCGAAGTGCTTTACAACGTGAATAGCCTCGTGCTTTAAGAGAACGCGTTAATGCTGATACTCCAACAGGAAGCTCAAGCTCTTTGATAACACGATAATATGGTAAACGGCGTGTACGTTTAGAGCTTGATATCCATTGTATGATTTGATCAACCTCTTCATTTGACAGCTTTGGTGGATTGCCTTTTGGTTTTCGAGGTGTAGCTTGCTGATTTTGGCACGTATATTGAACTTGACCATAGCTAATCTGTAGTTGATTAACTATCTGTTCATAGGTAAAGCCGGCATCACGAAGAGTAAGAATACGGATACGATCATCTCGATTAAGGCGCTTTGAATATGCTAATTTAGGAGAGGTAGGCTCAGGAGTAGAAGGCATCTTTGAAAATGACAAGAGTTAATGATAATCATCAAATACGCGTTTGTAGGCTTCAACACGTACGTGGCACGTAGCTTAATAAAGCAGGCGGTGTTTGTTGAGAGACTCACCGCTTAGAGGATCACGATCCCTGCAACCCTCCACCATACTAATGAAGTTACCGGGGTCAACCGGAGTAGTTTGTCGGTGGCACCCGCTTCCTTCATGATGGGTTGTTGACGAACACATACCCTTCTACCCTCCATAGAACCAGAACAAAGCTCAACACTAATATTGGCCTGCTTCCAGCATGGCATCCACTAGCCACTAACTGAGACTATAGCTCGTCATGTACCTTCTCACCCACTGCCCGACCCAGACTCATTCCCACTTCAACATTAACAGCAATGGCGTTCTTACTCGCCTTCAGAATGTCCTCATCAAACTGTATACGACCCTTCTGGAATGCCACAATAATGGACGATCCTCCAAACTGGAAGATCCCAAGCTCATCACCCTTGTGTATCTGAGTGCCCGGTTGCTGATACTGCGGATGAATCCTATTGACCATTAGCACTCTTCAACTGGCACCACAACTCATAAAGTGCATACCTAACTGTCCCCACTTGCGAAGCCCCAATAGCCACAAACAGCACTTCCCCAAACTCTTTTGTTTCAATAACCACATAATCCCTCGCATTCCTCGTCAAGATGTCCACCTGACTCTGCAACGCTATCGGATCTACCTCATAATAGTCCCCTGGCATGCTTCGAAACAGTTTGATAGTCCCCGAAACAGGACTATGATACCGATGATAATCCTGCGGCGACAACCGAAAACTCGCAACCGGGCCATCCGCGAACTTCGGTCCCAACTGCTTATCCATTACCAGATTCGTGATGGAGAAATCATTCCCCTTGATCCAGATCTTCTTGCTCTCGGCTACGGCTTCGTAGGCAACAACGCGCGAGTCGGCAACTATCACTGCAGCCGTGGGATCGTCTTTACGGTAGATTGGGCGTGAGCCGGGCTTGTGGGCACGTACGAAGAAGTCCTCGAATGTTGCATAGGCTGTTATGTCGGAAGGGGTGAAGTCGTTCATGTTGATGTGGTAGAAGTCAACAAAGGCCTTGATGCGTTTCCGAGATGCAGGGGTGGCTTCTTGTTTGCCTGCTGGGGTCAACGCTGGGTCTCGAGAAAAAAAAAGACACAGAAAAAGGGGAATTAAAGATGCTACCTTCTTCAATGGCAGTATGATGCAGGTATAATCGCATCAGATGGGTGGTGTCCAGCCATTCTGTTAACGGGTTGAATAAGAGAAGCAGCTTAAGCTTCTTCCATAGCGGCTGCTGTTCCCGCATGTGTTTACCGGTCTGTCTCCTGTAAGCACGGCGCATGTATTAGAGCGATCAGCGAGGAAGTTACCTTGCGCTCTATGGTGATCCATCCAACCTCTCTATTTTGGACCTAAGACCCGTTAATTGCTGTGGTATGCGACATGGGATAAGACTTACCATCTTAACCAAAGACAGCAGATAGTCTGCTGTCCAGTGCAGAAATGTAATAACGAACATTCTGGCTACTATTCAAGTTGTTGAATCTTGTGAGTTTGTAGCCATTTTCTTCTTCTTCGCAATGGAGTTGTGATCGAAATTGTCGCGATGCAACGGCAATGATGTCAGCATGACGGCTTCCCGATGACAGTATACTATATACCTAACCATCCACACATACTCTTTTGGAAATACACATCATCTCCCTCCTGGATCACAACATCCCCTCTTGCCCGGAAGGTAAGAGGCAGTAGATGATGACTGGTTATTGTTCCAGTACTCACGGTGTCATAGAAATAGACGATGTAGCATAGGATTGGAATTGCCTGTTTGGAATATTGGAATGAATCGAAGTTGAGCAGACCTTCCGTATGTGGATTTCACGCTACAGTTGAGGAACTAAGGGCGCATCTAACAATCTAATAGTAACGACTGACATCTGTCTGTGTCATTGTTAGATGTATTTTCTCGTGCTTTGATGAGCTATTGTTGCTCTCTGACTGGTTGTGTTCTATGGGCCCTTAGCTAAGTAGTACATGCTTTCATCATGCTGCTCGCGTGGGTTTACTAGTAAGTTACTTAATTATTGGTTGTGGCAAGGTGTATTCTCTGGATATACCGTCCCTTTGCTCATGCGATAACCTAACCGTAGATAAACTAGCGACCAGGAAGAAACAGTAATGCTCGTGCTCACAATCTTTAGAGAAACAGCCGACATACATCCATACAAATTTACATAGCAGGCGCGATCATGTCAAAGAACATAAAGATGAATTCGAATTGAATTCATACTCCTATATTGAATCCATACATCTATATAATCGAAGAAACCTATCATTTCAACCCTCCCGCCAACAATAAACTCTGCCCCGTCATATACCCCGTCTTCACTAACATAGTGACAACATTAGCCACCTCCTCCGGCAACCCCAACCTCCCCAGAGGAATCGTGCTTGCCACCTCCGGAATGGACTCAGCATTAGGGATCATCCCCGTATCCCCAATCATCGCCGGCGCAACATCATTAACGCTAATATTATACTCTGCTAACCTCGTTGCCAAGTTCTTCATCATGCCCGTTAACCCTGCCTTCGATGCCGCATAATGACACCCATTAATGCCGCCGCCATACCCCGCGATCGACGACATGAAGATAATCCGCCCCCAGCGCTGCGTCTTCATGTGCTCAACTACCCCCTTGACGAGCAGGAACGAGGCCCGTAGATTCACGGTCAGAGTGTAATCGAATTCCTCCGTCGTGATGTCCCAAACTTGCGGGACACGTTTGCCGTACCCGGCGTTGGAGATGAGGATGTCTGGGGTGCGGTTGTCGTGTTGTGCTTGGATCTCGGTGAAAAGGGTGGTGATCTGGGTGGGTGAGGAGACGTCGACTTGGTGGATAGTGATAATGAGGGCGGGGTGTTCGTTTTGGAGCTCTTTCTGGAGGGTGGTTATGGATGTCGGGTTGGATGAGTAGGTGAGGGCTAAGTGCACGGCTTTGGCGGCTAGTTGACGGGCACAGGCGGCGCCGATCCTGTAGTATTTGTTTGTTAATAATGGATTTGTTGACTTCAAGTGTGGTATGGATGGAAGTGGAAGAGAGTTTACCCTCCGGAGGCGCCGGTGATAAGGGCCAATCGGCCACTGATGTCATTTGACTGGTGCATGGTGAGTTTTTTAACGAGACTCGAGGGTAAGGAGGATGTGACTATTCAAGTGTCACTAGTGGATTTTGCTGGGAAAGGATGGTAGATATACTCGATAGTAGAATTGCTTAACCCCGCTAGTCGGCGCAATTCCGGTCTCAACCCCGCGACATCCTGGATCCACTCCCCGGGCTTTGTTCCGACGGTGCAGCGCCGAGCTCTTGTATGTTAGCAGTACGCTAATCGGATCGCAATAGACAACCCTACTTGGTGTTCTCGTGATGCGTACACTAAAGCACCTATAGGGTACTGAGGTTATTGTAATAGTGTGCTGTATCATAGCATTCTTTTTGCGAGTTGCTGTAAAGTCTATTCGGGGTTTCCATACCGAACATCAAAGACTTTTGCTGCTTGTTAGCCCAAGATCGTAGTCAACTAAAGCCGTTGAGTCTTATAAAATCAGTAAAATCAGAGTACTCAAGTAGTATGATATTATCCTATATTACATACCTCTCTAAACGCCGACCTAGAACCCTCAGTCAACAATACCAAAATAAAAGCCACCAAATAACTGCATATTCTCCCCTCTATACATCCTCCTCTTTCTCCACCCTCTCTACTTGTCTCCCAGCCAGCCTGACATACCCAGAATCATATGCCCTCCTAATAGTCGCCCACCCCAGAGAATAATACAACAACCCTAACAGCGCAATCGCATATCCCACCATTTGAAGCGAAGTGATCTGCGTGCCCCAAATCACCACAGAACAAACAATCAACAGAATGTTCTTTGGCACACTGACCAGCGTCATAGTTAAACCGGATGTCTTTCCAATCTAGACATACCCAGATTAATCAGCACTCACACACACAATCACCACGTCATCACCAGTCAAAACAGAAAGAAAAGGGATATGCATACCAAAACAAAAATCGACACATTTAACATGAACCCCACCGCGGCATTCGCTAACAACACCCCGAACCCAGTCTCCCCAACCACACTCCAACTGAACCCTCGCAGCTCAGTATAAAACGCGATCATAAAGTTCGTGAAAGCGCACACCGGTGCAGAGTAGTACAGTGTCACCAGGGGATCCATTTTCTGGCCCTCGTCTGACAGCAGGATCTGGATCATGACAAGACGGTTGGCGTCGAAGACAAGACTGGCGAGTTGGTAGATGACGCCGAGCCAGGAGAATTGGACTTCGCCGGCGACGGCGAGGGCGACACTGAAGGCAATGAGGAGGATATTGAGGAAGGATTCGAGCGACGGGGTTTTGACATGCCAGGCCCAGCTGGTGAGGAGAGTTACTATAGGGCCACAGGCCTGATTTTGTTCTTTTAGTACCGAGGTATTATATGGGGAGCGGATGTTGGAGGTACCTTGAGCATTTGAATAAAGGAAACATTCAGGTAAAGGTAGACGATGTTGCTGCAGACAAGACTACCGCTGTAAAGAATGCCGATGGGGATGATCATGCGGACATAGGTTCGGCCGTCCATGCGCATTCTCTTGCGACCGTCGAGCATGGTGGTGGTTCGGGCGAGAAGTTGAGTAGCAAGGGTTGCGAAGACGAGATGCCATGTTGTTAGGATGATTGCTGGGTTGGAATTGTTGGTTAGACTGTGTTGATACACTCCCTCACATCATGAAAACAAACTCACGGTATCCTGGAAAATGTTAGTGGGATGTTCATGTCTTTAGTGAGTACAGTGGATTGGAGTAATTCACGTACTAAATTCAGTGGACTCAATCACCCATTTATTGAATAAAATGGTCAAGTTCGACCAAAACACCCACGACCTACATTCCATGGTTAACGCTGGTAATTTTGGCTGACTGGTGGACTACATACAGAATGCCCAGTGTAACAGGCCATACTGAAGCCTCCTTGGGCGGAATATCCAGGATCGCCATTATTGGGAGGGACTCTAACGGGCCTTCCAGTTCACACAAAAGTAATACTAATAAATAGTGTCTCCAAAGAAGCTCGTGGTGGCCATTGGGGGCGTTTCACTCCGCCAAAAGAACCATCTCACGGTCAGACCTGGATATATCTAGTACTAGTAGTGATGGATAGCGCTACTTTCTTCTGCTAGGTGCTAGGTCTATTTCCATGGCACTGGCAACCACTGCAACGCCGGGAAAGTCTGGACTGAGAAAATCAGGGTCTGGGGCTAAACGAAGGAGAGTGTGTGACCCTGGGACGTTTGCGGGTTTTGACGGTGTCTCATCCGTGGGAAGAAGGCTGGGTGTAACCCTACTCTGCATGATTTATTCATTGTAACTGCACAGCTGCATCAATCAAGCTTCAGCAGGTCCGTAGGCGGCCATTTAAAAGCTGCGTTTATTGGTCAAGTCGTAGCAGAGGCCCAAATGAACGGAATTTGATTGGTCTCCAGTGTTTTGGGGGCGTTTATTTGTAGCAGGTCCACTGGCGGCTACTTAGGAGGGACTAGCCTAGGTTGTCGCGCGCGCGATCCATTTGCTACCACCTGGTGACCTGAGTCTAAGGAACCTCGGATGGGCTGGTGGATCAGGGGCCGGGTAGCAATCCAACTCTCAAATCTCAATATAGTCATTGTGGGTATCGATGCTGATTAACGCCCGGATTCAGGGGCAATGGGTAACTTCGGAGCGGGTGGATCTCCAAAAAGATTTTGCAATGAGAAAGGGGATCGTAAGCTGAGCTGATTAACTAGATGGTATTCTTTGGTCATGCTTACGTCGTTGAGCTAGACTGTCCGACTAACAGGGATGGGCGAGGCTGGATGAGCAACTAGCAGAATGTCTGGTAGAAGTTGGCCAACCTTGACGGGGCAACCCAGTTGCCTACCGGAAGCTCGGAAGATGTTCTAACTGTATTCTGTATACTAGTCTAGTAGTAGTATAGTAGTAATCGAGTAGGGCTGACGCTTGCGGACATTGGCCCCATTGACCAATCAGAGCACGGAAAAGGGTGACAGTTCCGTTTTGGGAATGGGCATCCTTAAGCTGGAGCCTGCAAATTTGGATGTGTCAGCCTTTCAGTCTTTATGTCCGTATATCTATTCACTATTGAGACATTGGCTAATAGACTTTATGTTGGAGCTAGCATATTCACAAGTGAAGACTGGGCTTTGTATGTCAAATAGTAAGAGTGACAACACATGGCTTGTTCCAGCCATACAATGGCAGTTCTCTTCACGCAGATCCATACATTCCGCTCAGCATAACCATAAAAGCTTGAACTATTGATAAACAAGAGAAAACTATCAACCTAAAACACCAATCTACAATACCAATCGGTCTATTGCCCAGAAACCAGCACATCAGATCCTACTTATTTCCATGCTTCCTCACCACGAATGCGTACAATATGTAATGAAATAACTCGGCCACTCATCCACATCAATCCACCGCTTACACTCATCCGGATTGAAGTCCGGATTGCCCCACGCCGCCAGGCACGCAGGGTGCTTATCATCCGCCCAGCTATACGGATAGATCTGCTGTCGCGGCAACACCACCATCTTATCAGCCTTTGCCCCAACCTCATCTTCACTGCCCTCTGGTCCACAGTACAGGTCCCACGCAGGTGACCACCGCCGCACCGTTCGACACACATGCGTCCGCACCGAACTATCCTCAAAATCCTCGTAATACTTGTGTAGCATAGTACCAAGTGCCCCAGGGCCCGTAAGTGACTCAACAGATCCATCGCCGTTCCCGTTGGGATTCTCAATCACGTGGATCACAGGTAGGAGCCAGAAAGGGTGGCCGGGGGGTGATGCCATCCAGCCATTAGGGACGGCGGCAGGGCCATCAAGTCCTTCTTTGTGTGCCATGTGGCCGACAAAGCCGCGCTGCGTGCAGTCATGGTCGTTCTTGCGTGGCCCTGAGGAGAGAATCTGACTGTGCTTGGCGAGGGTAGTCGAATGGCTGGTGAAGAGAGGCTCCACGGGCCGGAGAGCTTCTGTGTCGACGTCGGCGTACATTCTAGAGGTTACAGCTGTTAGCGAATGCGAGGTTTATGGTTTTGGTGGTGACTTACCCTCCGAATAGGTACATGTAGAGGTTGCGCACCACATCTGCTCGGTGGATCTCCTTGGGGAGACGGTTGTAATCTGTCAGGAACCAAGGGAAGTACTGTTCCACGAGCATCCGGTTCGTCTCATCATCCCATAGTACATACTCCCAATCTGCATTCTGCGAGCGCATTGTCCGTACCCAGGTTTGGGCATCGTCGCTCATGTTGCTACCGGCAGGGAACCACGTCTGATGGATAAGCTTAGGGATGGTGGTGAGATCTTGGGAGAGCGGACGGGCGAGGAGGTCTCGTGCTGAAAGAGTGCGAGCATAGTGGTCTTTGAAGGGGGCCTCATAGTCGGTTGGGAGGACATCAAGATGGAAGAGGTAGGAGAGGAGAAGAACAATAGCAAGGGCGAACGAGAGCTGAAATCGACGCCGGTTAAATTGGGATGTGAGCCATTGGAGGCAGGATCCTCGAGGAGATGATTGAAGTATCATCAGGGCGATCTGGCAAAGATTCTGAATTTCGGTGCAATGATCAGGCGATAGTGTGGTTTGGGGGTTGTCATAGAAGAGACCACCCTGAAGTTGTTCTCGCCTCACCCTAGATAGAATCTTGGACCAGGGCCAGGTAATATGGACATGGTCCCATGTACAATGGCAGGGTGGGCATTGGTGGATCAACAATCTTCGTATTCAGCGATGGAGTCAAGGCGGATATGTCTTACTTGGACCAGGTACCTCAGCGTCACATCCACTGATGCTCCATTGCCGAAAACGTTCATCACACGAATACGGCCCACTCGCACCTACTGATCGACCGGGCGGATGGTTCCTTGATTTTCAAAGAATTTGAAAACTTACTTCGAGCGACAGGCATAAGGGTAGTGAATTCGAGAGCCATATTCTCTTTCCGACAGCTTCGATCGAGCAAATGGCTCAATCGATACCGTTCATATGAGACGCTGTAGATAATATTGTATTTAAAGTTATACACTTATATATCATCTTCTAAGCAATCTTTACTCCAAGCTTGACCAGGATATTGCAAACAGTGTAGTTATATGCCACATTTCTGGTGATTCAAAAATTTAAACACGAGCATATGTACCCCAATCCCACTCCCATCCTAGTACAATCCACCCAATGCCAACCTCCGCGGAGTATACACCTTCAGATCTCATATTTATCATGTTTGGTGCCTCAAAATTATCCTCATATACCTACAGAAAGTCAGTTATATCAGAGGAATTAAAAAGACAAGGTAACTTACAAGCTCATTCCCGCCAAAGCCATCAAAATACCCGCGACACTCTGCCGCAGAATCTCATGATCACTCAGCACCCATCCCAACCCTACAATGATGCACGTCTTGAGCTGTCCGATCACCGTGCTTGTAACCGGCCCAGCAGCATCAATTATATAGAACTGAGACAGGTTCACCAGACAAGCGAATATTCCACTCTGCAATGCATAAATCAGCCACTTCTCTACCCTTATTCATTGTCAAACAAAGAAACAACCAAGTCAACTTACCGCAAGTATCGAAGTCCACAACGACCCAGGGACAGTCGCAACCTCCGGAAACGTCTCCATCCACGGAACAACACACAGCAGGACAGCCGCGCTGACAGGGGCCTGATTGAGTAGAAGCTGCATACTACTCATCTCCAGCTTCTTATGATACCGGCCCACCAAGACCGTATACAATGCACTAGCGCACACACCCGACAAAGCGAAGAAAATACCCTCTGGTGTCGTAGTATCGTTGCCTTTCGCGGACGGTAGTGAATCAAAGTACGAGACAATGCCAACTCCCGTGCAGAGCAGGACCAGGGGAAGGAACGCCGATCTGGGGATGCTGGACTGGAACAGCACAAAATTTAACAACGCCGTAGCAGGTGTAAGGAGCAGCCGCGCCAGCTGGTGAAAGATAACCGACGAGTAGGCCAAAGCCAGGTTCTGAAAAATGACCTGGATGCACATAGCCGCAACAAGGTGGAGGATTCGATAGGGCGATACGTGCTTGGGTTCGAACCAGCCGCAGAATGGCCGCGATGCTAGCCATAGTGTGAGTCCGGTGATGGTGAAATGGTAGGCGGCGAAGGATACTTGTGAGTTGTGGAAAGATGCATTGGAGAGGATGGATTTGTTAGTGAAGACCTGATTGATTGTGTCAGTAACTAGTAATAATCATCTTCATGTCTAGCATGACAGAAACTTACAATAGCAACAGTCGCGACAATATTAATTGTCATCCATACAAGAAGTCCGATACTCCCTATCTGCTTTTCCGGCTCCTCAGACAACACCCCAGGCCTCTTTTCGTCCTCATATGAATAATATCCCAGCTCCAGCTTCACATCGTCCGATGATGGTGGTGGTGGTGGGCTTGCAGGAGTGCAGCTTATCGAAGTCAATAAACCCTTGCACTCATCGTCCTTCGGATTCGTTTCTGCAACAACCATGTTGAAAACCCAGTATAGTATAGTGTATCGTGTTGCTTGCTAGAGGGTTGAGGCTCTGCAATAAACACAGCATGTCTTCCCCGGGTCCTAAAAGCTATGTATGCACCAGGGATCTCTATTGCAAGGAAAGAAAGAATCTACCACCATCCACTCCACTTCCTCTCAATGACATCTACCTTGGTTGGGTGGCGCTACAGGTCATGTCCAACAGGTCTACCAAGTACGTGATGTGTAGAGTGACCCAGAGGTTGTGGTGCTAGAGAGAAGAACGCACTGAAACATCATGAGGCCCCACGACCCAGACTTGCGCGAGTGTGCTCTACCGTATCCAAGGGCACTTGATTTTTAGAAAAAATGGGTCAGAAAGGAACCTCAATGTTACACTTTATAGTTACTTCTCGTACTCGTGATGTGCGCCAGGGGGGCGGGGAACCTGGATCGAAGCCGGAAACGGAAGTAAGATAGGGATGGTTGCGGGCACTGGAATGTGGGATTGTACGGCTCCTGTAAACCTTGGGAGAGGGGTGGCGGTTCCTGTTTCCGTCAGGGACCAGACTTTGTATGCTTAGACTCTGAATTTCGCGGGAATTGAGCTTGGGGTTCTCCGTTCATTTGTTGGGTCGTTGTGGTTGGAAGAGAGATCGATCTGTTGTACGGGCCAGGTTCCATGGACTGCGCAGCAAGAGCGACCTGGGCCAGGCTCTTCTTATCTATTGGAGGCACAAAAGCCATAGCTAAGGGTTAAACAAGGGACCATACATTCTTGGATATAATTACTATAAGTCACGCTAGCAAATATGTACCAACAAGCTCAAGAAACTAGATAACCCCTCGGGTACTCGAACTCCTTCCAATTTAACACGCGCCGCGACCAAGGAAAACCCTCATCATACTGGGCATAAACAGTATCCCTACCAGCCACCAGTCGATGAATATTCAGTCGAGTGCTGTACATGAGGTTCCAAGCCTGTGCCTCGTGCCACTCGTCGCTGCCTTCACGGATGTCCGAATCTTTTGACGCAAGACCGGCCGCTTTGTACGTCCCGATGATGTTGGGGAACGGCGCGTAACACTCGATCTGCGAACGGCCATCCTTACCACCACACATATCAGCCATAGAGTTATCCACTGCAGCCACGAGCCGATCGATTGCTAAGGCTGCTAGGATTCTCTCTGCGCCTCGCTTGGTCACCGCGTACCCATAGGTGCAGCAGCCCATATCAGCCCGATAAATGAAACGAGTAGACGTCTCAGGATAAATCTCCTTCCATGAGTCGAGGGGGCCGCCCCACGTACCACGGTGATCGACACTGGGGGCAGTTGGGTCATTTGGGATGGCATAGAATTGCGTCTCGTTGGGAGCGGCAGATGAAGCGCATCCGCCCACCCAGAGGATGTCCCAGTTGGTGCCGTATGGAGCGCTCTTGGTCGTATTAGCATTTCTGGTTAACGCGCGCACGCCTCGAGCGAATTCGCGAAGTTGCTGCCTAATGCTAACGTCCCAGTCTGCGTCGTCTTCAAGGATAAGCGCTGTTGAGTAGGCATTCTGGACCATACTATATCATGATAATGTGAGCTTATATCAAGATAGGGTTTTCGCATTGACAAAGGAGCATACTGACTTGCTCAAAGCGTTCATATGAGCGCGCCAGCATCCTATCTCGGATGGTGTTAATAGATTATCCTAAAAGAGGTGTTAGCTATAGCCAGAGGTCTCAGGCATAAAGCAGCGTACGTTGAGCAGAGCCTTCTCGCTCATATCCTCTGGATGTACCCCATCTACCCATTCGACCCGAAACCCGGCTATCGACGCAGCGAGGTTGAGGAAATCGCGCTTATCTGTTCGTTCTTTCAGCCCAATGGCGTAAATGTGTTCAAACTGTCGAAAACCGTTAGTAAATGCGTAACGGATATCATCAGGAAATGTAAAAGGGAACAAACCCCAAGCGTCTCATTTTGAATATGTTCCAGCGCCCGATCCTCTAACGTGGACCGCGCGATCTTCACCCAGTCCTGTTTCCAATACTTTTCCCCCGTACCACTGAAGAAAAGAGTGAGGATAATATAACTGGCGAATGCAGCGACAATGTATTTCGTAAATCTGGATTTCCCCCGAATCATGCTGAGAACTGGCGCCAGTTGAAGATGGTCTATAAAGTGAGAGGAGACATTGAACAAGGTGAAATATCTTGCATATCGCAAACTGCACACTTCTTGCGCCTTCTCGTGAAGTTTCTTGGTAATCATGGGTCACTATTTTGGGATTATATGGGTAAACCTTAAGAAAGAAAAGCTGGACGTTTTGGGTTGTATCCACATTCTTTGTTCAGGAACGGCAGGTTGGTACGTAGAAGCATCTTTCCCGAAAACGGGAATCGTCACTCCGGCATGAATACGATGTAGTGGAGATTCAAGGTAGCCCCGCAGCAACAAAAGACTTTCTTTTGAACTTATGAATGAGGAACTGGTCGCCTAGGGATGGATCAGAGATGGCCCTAATAATAGCCTTAGAGTGGTCTCGAGCCATAGGATCATTACACCACCAAACAGGAAACAATATAGAATAGTCTGTCCAGTAACACTATCATGTCTCGGCCAGTAATTTCATGCATTGATCCACTCTTCTAGTCGGTGTAACTAGAACTGCAAGCTAGCTTCGTGGTTATACGAATTGACAATCAAGTATATTTATCGGGATTCATAAATTATCATTAAGGTACATAGTATAAAGAAATGCAACTGAAGTCCCTAGTGTATTATTCACAGCCATAGGATTACTTATGTTAACTGTTAGTTAGTTATATTAATGCTTAGTTGATCCTTTGAAACTGAGAGATAGTCGGAGGTATGCACAAGTTCTATGCGCTACTGCGTTCTTGGATAATCCGGCTCTACTTCGGGGCAGACTCGGCTTGCGTTTACCAGGTTGGTGATTGGGGTTAGATGAAAAAGCATTTGAGAGAGGCCACCCCCGCGATGGAAAGAGGTAGAAAAGAAATAAAGAATGAAAACCGTGCATATAACTTGTACCATGTTAAAAGGTGGGAAAGGCGAAAAAAAGAAAAAAAAAAGCCCCTGGTGGGGGTCGAACCCACAACCTTAAGATCTCAATCTAGCTGCAGAGATAGTTAGTAACATGTTGCCTGTAAAGGGGTCCTTGGGAGTACTTGCAAGTCTTACGCGCTACCGATTGCGCCACAAGGGCCTGCCTGGCTGGGGGTAGTCTCACTATCATGCAATATCAGCTTGCTTTTGTGCCAACCTGGGCCTCACGTGAGACTTGGGGAATAACTATCTACGTATGACCTAAGCCCTTTCAGAATAACTAACTAACTGTGGTCCCATGGTTCCAGAAACCACCTACCCTACTCTAGTACGTTTGGCAGAAACCGATAGTTTTATCGGTGGCTCTCATGAATCCTTGTAATACATCGGCTGTGTGGTCGACCTCAGTCATCCCATGTCATACCGCGTGACGTGTGATGGCGAGCGACGTGACTGAGGCACGTGACATAGTTTTGCTTACTTTGTTTGTTCTTTTTCTTTCGCTTCGCTCGCTTACCTTTGTTGTTCGCACGCGTTCCCCCACACTCCTTCCTTTTCCCAGGCTCTCATGTTCAATATTCTAGTCTAGAAGCACCGAATAAGATACGTCCGATTGGCTCTCACATGACGTATCAGACTCCGAGAATGACCTTGGTCAGGATGACATGACAATGATTAGTCATCCTTCCTAGTTAGGCATGTCTTGTCAATATAGCTAGCTCAACAGGGCTCGCCTTAGAAGTGGTCTCAATCATATAATGATGACGCCACGAAAAAAAGTCACATGAGGCATGTGACACACGATGTGTAGATGCTGTTGAGACATTCACTGCAGCCAGGCAGCTGTCAGCTGATCCTTCGCCTCCTCTTCCTGCGTGGCCTCTGACCACCACCTCTTCCAATCACCAACCATCTTCTTGAGATCTAGATAGATCAAATCCATATATCTTTGACCCTTCGTCTTGACATCCCATACTACAGCCACACAGGAAACAATAGGAAACCATTTGCACGGTACGAGCTCACACTGCCTCGGAATCATGTCCTATAACCCGGAACGAGCGTGTCAATACTGCAAGTCTTTGGCGCATATTGATAAATACTGTCCTGAATTCAAGAGTTGCATCTACTGCAAAGGGGACCATAACATCATCAAGTGTACGAAGATTACGTGCAGAAGATGCAAAACTAAAGGGCACCATCAGTTTATCTGCCCGAATACGCCAGAATGTATGTTATCACGCAGAGAGAAAGCTCTTGTATACTATGCATATCTGCTAACTCTGTTGGAAAGCTTTAGACGTTAGCTTGAACCCGATGCTAGGGAGATCGAAGCAACATGGGATGTTCACCACTAAGAGACAGAGCTCAGTATCAGAATTGATCTCTTCTAAAAGACAGAGGACATTGGACCGTTACACTTCAGTAAATCTGAATATATCTGTGCAGTCACCCGAGCATTCGGACAAGAAGTGGTTTGCTATCAATGAAAGCGTGAGGGATGTGAGTATTCAACTTTACCAGCAACGATTGCCCTTAGTAATGACCAATCTTAGGAGCTTTCACTGCAAGAAAAATTCATCTTTCCATACCTTAAGCCACTGTGCAGTGAAATGATCAGTGAAATCATACAGGGATTATTACCGGGATCATCATCGCCTCATTGCAATTACCCTGAGATCATTGATGAGCATGGTGGTGTGGAGAAAGTAACAGAATCTCTGATCCACCTTATAAGTCCACACATTATCCAGTTCCAGGGCCATGAAGTAACAAGAACTGCACTGAACGCAATTTTCTGTCAACAAAGTGATAGTAATGAGCGCTGGAATATGCCTTTAGGTTACGCAAGCATTGTATGTGATGACCGAGATACATCATGGTGGAGGCTATATATAGGCCAATGCTCTTTATCATGGCGGCGGATTGTGTGCCAACATGCCCAGCAAATTATCAAAGGATCAACAGCAAGTCTCTATTACTTTAATCTGTGGATAGGAAACGGTCATCGATATGCTAGGTTTATCAAGCTTTGGGGTTTCCCTAAAGACACGGTGACTGATGGATGGTATCAAGCCTGCAGCAATCTACTTGAGGCCTTGTTCTGCAGAGCTTTCAGGACCCATCACGGAATGTTGAATCGACTGGGATCAAAGTACCAGAATGATGGTATGGCCTCAACCTTGGGATGGGGTCTTAATATAATGTCACCGCTCGTGCAGGGAAATTTGGCTCTGAACAAAGAACTTCGGACCAAGGCAAATATTGGTCCCAGTAAGGCACCAGATCAACAGATCCAATACTGGGCCGTTTTCAACTCACGACAGAAGGCAGCTTCTGAGAAGCTAAGACGAAAAGAAAGTATCAAGGCTGTGTTCGAGAAAGATTTCGACATTGCATTACAAATCGCTTTGAATAATGACGAAGAGGCCTTTAACAAGGTCAAAGAATCACTCCAGCTACAACAAGAAACATCCGATTTCAGTGAAGATTTGGCTCATATACCCTTCTGTGGTAGTTTGACCTCCGAAGTGGCCGCAATTCTTGACTATGCTGCTGTTTCAGGGGCGAATGATACGCCCATGAGGGCTGGTGATAATGATGACAAGCAGCACATGCTCACAATCCCATGGTCTCTAGATGGATGTGGCTTTACTGAGGGAAATATTCTTGTCTGGACCTATGACTTTAAGAGTTTTACGAGTATAGGTCTTAAGCATCTTGGTCATGATATTCTGACAGATCCTGATGCCAGAAAGTTCCATGAAACTCTGCTCGCAACCAGTCAAGCTAAGATTATTTTCCTATATGGTCCTCGATCAGAGAAACTTATACGAGCCATTGTGAGATCTTCGCGCCATACTCTGTCTTTACGCGGATTTGACTATCCACTCTATCGTGATTCCTTACGCAATCGTCTTTTTATCTGCTGTCCTCCTCTACCTGCAGAGATCTGGTCCGTTAGCACAAGACATAGTATCAAGATAAGCGAGGCTCTGAGATTTGCGGTTAACTTCATTCCATCGTTAAAGTATGATATTAGACCGTTTTTCTGTGAAAACAGCAGCGTTATTGGTTATATCTTGCGCCAAGCAAGGAAAGAAAGACTCGGAGGAGAAGCCCTGACTGCTGACACTGTGGATGAGGGTGTCCGGCTCTGGCTAGCCAGAAGAAACATGGGTCAAGCTGAAGATATCAAAGAAATAGAGAAGATTGCTGGCTCACTTACTCGCGGCCTTTTGATGGTTTTGAAATTCCTTCCAAAGAGACCGAAAAGTGATGGGGACGAACCCAAAGAAAGAAGCCCGCAGCCAAGCAGGCGAGTCACTGAAAGGGTGAGGGTTCATGAATCCTTCAACGTGGAGCAGTATCAAAAGATAGGAGACTTTGTTCACAAGCATCTAGACGAGCGGGAGATCGATTACAGAAACCGATTATCTCGGCTGTGTGCGGAGTCACCGCGGCCTCAAGACAAGGAGAGATGTTCTACTAGTTCTGATAAAGGAGCAACTGATGCGCCATCCACTGATCTGGAGTCTATTGCAGCACTGAAATGCTTTTCACAATTGCAGGGTCAAGAATTTCAGACGGGCGCAGCAGAAATGAAAGGACTGGTAGAACAGTGTCAGGCCGAGGCAGGTGATAGGGACTACGAAGCTCCCATTGATATCCTTCAAGGCCTTACAGCCAGAGTTATAGGTGAAGGTTTTCTTGACCCCGTCGGTGTCACTGCTGCACAGCCCGTCATCACTGGGGCTAGTGACAAGAAGCGGCAGGGCGTGAAAAGTGTTGTGTGGAAAAATGAAGACGTCCGGAATCGTGAATATAGCTATAAGCTTAAAGACCAGCTCAAGCGCCACATCTATATCTACTATTGCGAGATTCTGTTCCCGGCTAATATGGATATCTTAGATGAAATGGTCTTTATCAAACTGGAGCTTCGTCCTTTGGGAGAGATACATTCAAGTCTATATGCAACCTCAAGCTCTGAAGCTCACGATGATCCGGCCCTACGTCTAGCCTTCCGGGTTAGATACATCGATTCTTTCGGTCGTGAAGTGGTATACTATGCAACAAATCCAGCCATTAATATGGTTTTCAGGGCGAACACTTTGGTGGAGGTTCTGGAGAAGAAATCATTGGAGGACATTTCGCGACTCCCGAGACGGTTTATCCACATTGGTAGTCAAAATAATGCTCATCCCTTGCTTGAACGCTTTAGGCGTGGGGGGAATACCAGCCCACTTCCTCGTTAATCGTTTGATGATGTGCTGTCTATGTACCGTTCTCCCCTATCCCTGCATGTTGCTTCACCGTTTGAAGCTAAGAAGATAGCCCAGAATGCCCTCGAATTCCCCAAACTCGCAGGATTCACACATAATTAACAAAGCAACACATGCTACGACGTAGGGAGGTCACCACCATAGCTAAACATAACTAAACAAAAGCAAAACATAGTCTTACTGAAAGTAGAAATATGAATGAGGGGAGATGCTACCGCCACACCAGCCAGGTGGTGGCTTCTTGAAGAACTGCTTGGAGAGCTGCTTGGAGGACTACTTGGAAGATAATTTCGAAGATCGTTTTTAGATAGCTTCTTGGAGGGTTGTTTAGAGCGTCATTTGAGTGGCTGTCTGGGTGGCCAATTGGAGTCTTAAATCTACTCGAAACCTCATATTTATGCCGCCGGCAGTAAAACCAAGATTTTACATTTGTACGGCTGGCAAAAGCGGCAATCGGGCAAATGGTACACACTAACTGTGGCAACAGAAGATTCACTACTACACGTGAGATGAGTAACTAACTAGTATTGTCATCCATCCATTAACATCCACGTTCGATCCATTGCATAGATTTTGGTACTCGTATGAGGCCTATTACATTCATTGATAACTTCCGTCAGTATACTGTAAATGAAGAATACTATCATCAATGCAGTGTGACACTTGTATCCTGCGTTATATATACAATCAGACAGCAAATCTATTCAATCATACCCCCTGAAAGAGAAACCACGCAAACGAAGTTGGGTATATGAAATAAAACTTCACAAAACCACACACACCATCCTATGTCCGATCCATACGTACTGTTGTTGAATACAACCCTTGTAACCGGTTAGACCAAATACAAACACTAAAGAAAAAAAAAATAAGAAAA